TTGAGGATACAAGAATTCTTTCACCAATTACTACTTTGGTTATAAATTCATGTTACATATTTCTTCCGTATTTAAATATCAGCAGTTGTAATAACTGAAAAGGAATTTTGCTAAAATGCTACTTTCTTCCTCTCTATAAACAGGTTATTATCCAGAATAGCTCTTAATTTAACTGGATAATAACTAGAAGTTCTATTAACTTTAACCTATTACAATGAGTGATTATTTTTCTCATTAAATTTTATAAAAAATGGATTCTAGTGATATATAATTAGTGACTGAATAAGTTAATCTACCTGTAATATTTAAAACTTGCACTTCGATCCCTTATTATGGTCATTATTTTGGGGGGTTGTCAATTTTCTAGATGCAGGTTTCACTAAAAATGTTTGAAACTTCTCTAAAGAACAGCATATTGGTGGATATAATTTACTTTCTCAAACCCCAAGGCTAAAGATAATAGGAAAGGAACCAATTACATAAAACTTCATTGAGGAGTAGAACACTTTCAACCTGCAAATGAAACGAACACTTACTTGATTCCAACAGAATTGTTTTAAAAGATTCTTGCCTCAAGATGGAAATGCTTTAATTCTTTCCTGGGCAGTGCAACACTCTCCTGCAAGGAGATGGTAAATTAAAAGTAATGTGAACCATAGGAATGTTCTGTTGGAAGAAAAGAAGGGACACTGGTGAATAAAGCAAAACAAAAATTCACATGTGCAGATTACTTAGCCACACAGTGTTGGTTGTAGCAATCATTTTTAAAGCTTTTAAGGAGGCTGGGAATTCAACAAGCTTATCAGCCAAACACCATAAAATAGTGCCCAAGGAATGTAGATATTAGAGTTTAGATTGCTTCAGCAATGAATTGAAGCACAATTGAGGGACATAATTATGGCAGATAGGTAACTGAGAAATGACGCTAGCAGATGGTTACACAAGTCTGCTGCAATCAGAAATGAATTACTGTTGAATGGTTGAATTTATATATTTGATGGCTAAGTAATCCTTGCAGCTACAGGCTTAAAAAAGAGACCACTTATTTGTACAACCAGCCCAGAAAGACACATTGACTCTGTGAATTTCAATCACTTATTTGCTAGGGCAACAATACCTCTGGGATGCACACCTGGAGACAAATGTCAACTCTCAAGGGTCTTTGCAGTGGGGTGATAAGAGTCACTAGCCACAGGTATCCCTTCCCCTTACTTCTGTCCTCCATTACTAGACAGTAATGAAGTAGCTGCTTTTATTATCCCTTTATTCCAAATTTTAACCTGACCCATAGCCAATCTGACCTTTATACACAGCCAAATTGGCAAGTTTGATCCAAGTGGAAATTGTAGCTAATTGGATCTCAAACAGGTAAGTCAGCGAGGAACAGAACTGGTACTATCCAACCATACTGTTTTAACTTGCCTTTTATCATGTACAGTTTAAAGTCTAGCAAGAAATTTCCGTGTATTTAAATAAATGGAAAAACAAAAAACACTAGTATGATAGTTTAACACAATAGAATAGGAAAGAAATAGAAATAGGAAAGGAAGGAATAGGAAATAATCACTAATGAAGTTAAGATAATATTAACACAACTTCACTAAGTACAAACATTGTAAGTTTTCTTCAACCTTCATAGCAATTGGCTTTGCTTAAGCAAAAATTTAGAGGTACGAAAATTGCAGTTAATTAGTTAATAGTCAACAATTATTTCTCTTACACTAGGTAAATTTAATGATTTTTTTTTTTTTTTTTTTTAGTTTTTGGTATAGATGAGGACTTGGTTTTAATGAACTGAACAATAAAGAGAACACCTAAAAATTGGATAGTTTTGAGCATATTATTTTTTCTCTCCATCTTAATTTTGCTGGATTAGATCGAGATGCCATGCTTCTGAGGCTACACTTTTTTCAAATCGAGGGTGTTATGATATATACGAAGGATATCTCTGATTTTGTGTAATACTTGTATATGAGACAGCCATGCACATATTTTTGGCAGGTAAATTTTAGTTTAGGATCCATTATTGAATTTGGTAATCTTTATGTATTAGGGAGGTATGAGCTATGGAAGATGAATTGATTACCATAAATTTTAGAAATTATTTTGGATTAATGCCATTAAATTTTACCACTTTAAGTATATCACTTGGAGTTTTAAAGGACTTTCTCTTTTATTTAGACATGAAATGTCAAAGTTATAATACCAAATACTGGATATTTTCCATGCCCTTCAATCACTGTTTTTCTTCAGTTCAACAATATATTGAGTACAATTCATAACAAGCAATAACAGTCTGTCATAAACATTAGTATATTATTTAAATGCTGTGGCTTCATGAAATAGAAATTCTAACTCAAAAGGAACCATTTAATTACACATTTATACATTCAGGCCTTTTACTGATGACAAAACTCAGAGAAGGAAAAAGTATGTTCCTTTATATTGACAAGCTAAATTAAAGTCTTGCAATTGCCACAAAATTTAGTCATTTATCAAAAACATTTCTCACCTTATAATGTACACTATAAGGTACACTATACTCAGGGATTGAATGTCAGAATTTGACATTTCTTCCCCTAGAGCTTTTAATAAAATACACATTTAGGGTAAAATCACTCCCTAATTTTTTTCTCCTTTATATTTCAATATCCCTGAAAGTAGAATGTGTCTTATAATGCAAAGTGTTTTATACAACTATTAGTATGGCAAATCATGAAACTTGTTTTTATATGTGAACTTGACCATAGTTGTGCTTGCAATTGTCTCTTCAGTTAAGTATGATATATGTGTACACCGATACTAAATAGCAAATAATAGATCTCAAGGCAAGGAACCCTGACAAATCTTTTGAAGAAATACAATTTCAACTAGAATTCATATATTCTGCAGGAATTATGATAAAAATCAAGATTAGGTGAAATACTGAGTACTTAATGAATGATAAATACTTATTTTCTGAAAGCTCTGCAAATATATAAATAAATGCTAAACAATAGCTATAATGTTTTTTTTTCTCCCTAGGAAGAACTTTGAAAAAGCAACAGTACACACAATTAAATCTAACAAATCACATACAGCTAACCAATTATTTTCCCAGTGACATTAGTATGACATTACTTTGTCAGAAACCACCTGACCACGAATTAAAGCCATTTATTTATTTTTTGGTACCGGAGATTGAACTCAGGTCCTTGCGTTTGCAAGGCAGGCCACCGAACCGATGACCTAAATCCCGGCTGAAGCCATTTATTTTCTAGGGACATGACTAAGGCAAAGATGAAATTGACTTTGTCAAATACTAAAGCATCAGTATCAGAACTGCAGAACAAGTGTGAGCTATCTGTAGCCTGGTAGGAAGTCCAGATAATAGTATAGCTGGCACTCTTAGAAAATGCAGTTCTATTTAAGTTGAAGAGTTTTTTTTTAATCAAAGCAAATGTCTAAGAAAGTAATGCACCTTAGTTTTCGTTCCACTGTATGTATACTAAAGGATAAAAAAAAAAAAATCTATAATACAGATTTGTATATATGCACCTAAAAGGTAGCTCCAATAAATGTTTCAAGTAACAAGAAACCATTGTTATACTTTATTGATAGTCTTTTCTTTCTTTCTTGTAGAATAAAATAGTGAGTTTTATATCCGATAGCACTTCAGGTAAAATTAGTCTTGAATATTTAATGAGTAACAAACATGCTGGGAAAGTTCTGATAGTAACTATTATATATTTTATTTTTCTCCTTTGGAAAAAAAATCTACCTATAAATAATGAAATTAAAGATTTCAGATAAGTCACTTCTAGTTTACCCATATTTTATATTGACATTAATATATAAATAAAAGTGGCAAAGACCAATTCTTACTCCAACTTGTTCATTTAAAACACAAAACTGAAAAATTTTGGATTGTTAAACTTTGATATGAAGACATTTCAATTACATGTTTATACCAAAATAGGAAAACAAAGCGTGAGATTACATCCAATTTTTTTTTGTTGTTGTTCTTTTGTTGTTTTTTTTTTTTTTTGAGACAGGGTCTCACTATGTGGTTGAGGCTGACCTGAAACTCACTATGTAGCCCAGGCTGGTCTCTCACAGCGATCCTCCTGCCTCAGCCTCTGGAGTGTTGGGATTACAGGTAGGCGCCACCACGCCTGGCTTATATCCAATTTTATTATTGTGAAGTTGCTTATTATCTGTGTATTACCTTAGTTTTCCTATTCTTCTCCTCCCTTCCTGCTACCGGTTGGACAATGACTACTTCTCAGCATCGCCATTAATATGTGGACAGAAAATAATAAATGGAAAGTATAATCAGTCCATCTTGTAACTTAATTCTGTAAAAAGTATTATTGAGAGGATGAAAGTAATGTACACAGTGAAATTACATGATTAACATTATTTTCCCCCAAAGAACCGAGTACTATGTACACAGAAACACATATGCATACACATACACAGACTTTTTACTGTGAAATGGAGCATTAGATAAAATTGGTAGGATACATGAATATGTTAAAGTATACAGATAAAATATCTATATTGTTTTGCTTTGATAAGATGAATGAGATGCAAATAATTACCAATTTTAGAGCTTTTTGTATCTATAAAACCACAAAAACAAAAATATATTGGACATTAATTTAATCTGATTTGTCAGCTATGGATTCGTTTCTGAAAAAGTATTCCTGCAGTATTCTTAGAATACCTAGAGGACCCTAAAATTTTTATTAGGATAAATAAATAGGACTACATTTAGATAATTAATCTAATATTTGTTAGATGAACAAAACACTGCTCCACAAATCCATCTTACTAAACAGAAAATTAAAATAGTGAAAAATATCCAGCAGTGTCCCTTGTTTTGAAAGTCTTCCATCAAAAGGTAGTTTTTGAAATTGTTATTAATATTATGCTGCAGTAATTGTATTATTAATTTCCTTTACTGAAATAAGATCTACAAAGAATACTGTTTTTTGAATCCTGTAAGTATATATCTATAATATAAATAATATTTAAGATATTGCTAAGTAAGATTTATTTTTAATTAAGCTAATTTCTAGAAAAATTTTCTCCCTATAAGCTATCATGTCTTCTACTTCTTTGTAGATAAGCATTTCTTCAATGGATACAAGCTGGTAGCTACTCAGACTGAAGGATGAATTGCTCTTTACTGCATGTAACATCTTCAGGGATGTTGTAACTGATTCACTCAGAGAAGAACAAACTGGGAAAATGCGAGCAGTCCATAAACTGAATTGCGCCCTTCTTCTTGAAAACAGCTCCTCTGTAACTTTAAGATTCCAAAGATCTAAGCATGACAGAAAATCAACTCCAAAGAACTGAAGTAACTTTGTATCTAATAATGTCTTAACTTTGTTTTTTAAGTTGTCTTGCACTCCAAATGCCATAGTTGAATACTTCAAGTGTCCATTTATCATCAAGCTTAAGGAACACAGAAATGAATATGCAGGCACGGCAGCATTGGAAATGACGTAAGAATTGCTAATAATGCAGTTTTCTCCAATGGAGACGTCTGGCCCCAGTCTGGAGTACTCTACAACTGAGCCAGGTGCCACGGAACATCCTGAATCCAGTATACTGTGAATGATACAGGATGTCTTACAGGAACATTTCAGAGTATATGGAAGTACACCAAAAGCTACTGATTGTAAACTGAGCTCTAACTTTAAACTGCTATCTGAAGTAAAATGGAACAAATACTCTTCAGTTGTCCCGATGTGATAAAATTTGGAGTTATTAAGAACAACAACATTTAGGAAAGTTCCTTTAAGAAGATGAAATATTCTCTGCCTTATATCTAGCAACTCTGCTTCTTCTTTAGTGACATTTGCAGTGTTTCTGGTGTACTCCGCAGTTGCTCCAGGTCCCAATGCCTGCAGAAAGTCACCATAGGCATCTACTTCACAGTTCAGAGTGCCTATTTCTTCATAAAAAGCAAGTAACTTTTTTGCAGATATATGATCCATATAAAATAGGCTATCAGTGTAGACATGCTCAGAGTCTAGGTGAGGATAGGGAGCATCTCCTCCTGCAAAGTCCTGTGGACAAAAATCTCCAGGTCTACACACAGCACTAAGTTGATACATCTTTTCTATGCTTGGCTTATGAAGGAAACGGTGGCAACACCTATATTCAAGATCTCTACGTTTTGAATCATTAAAAGGATCTAAGACAAATACTCCATGTGTGGTACCTATAGTTAAACTAGAAGGATGAGCTAATGCAGTGAAGCCAGGTTTGTCAAATTTAATATACTCAAATTCTCCAATACTATACAGTTCAATATCATCTGCACAGGTAACCACAATTCCAGGATTCATACATGAGGGGAAATCAATATACATGGCTAGTTTTAATTCCAACATCTGATAAATGGGGTTACCAAATGGTAAAGCAGTAAAAATTTTTCCCAGAGCACTTGCATTTGGAAGGCGCTGACTGTAGCCACCTATAAAAGTAAAAAAACAAATAAAATACCATGTAAAAACGTTGCTGTTTATAAGATTTTCAAAATCTAGCAGCATCAATTACAATTCAAACTATCTCCACATGTATTTGATATATATTTCATATATATATAGATAGATAGATAGATAGATCTATCTATATATATATTATGTGGACTGTAACTCAAGAAAACACAATGTAACCCAGATTAAAAATTCAAAGAGCAATTTTGTAGCATTTGTTATGATGCAGGTTGTCTTTTCGAGATGAAATGTCTTTAGTATAGTAAATCAGTATCGACCTGTTTTTATTATTGTTTTGTTTTTTATTAGTATATATTTGCAGTACACAGTATATACATCCTTTGTGTGGAGCTGGTCCATTAACACATCGTAGCTCCTTTTTACATCCCTTCCTGTCTCCCTCCCACTCTCCATCTCTTGTTCCCTTTCACAAAGATCTCCCTACCTCCTCTTATCCAGCTTTTATTTTGCTCTTCATTTATAATTTAGGTTTCTCATATAACCAGGCAATATTTAAGTTTGTGTGTCTGATTTGTTCCACATAACATAATGGTTGCAAAGTGCAATCTTAAAGATTCTAAGTTAGAATTATTGAATTTTGAATTGTTCTGAATCAATAATAAGTAAAGATCATGTATCTACATTTTAAACTTTAAATTTCAGAATGTTTAAACTCATACATTAAGAATCTACTTCACAGAAAAAAGTTATAAAAAATTAATACAGTATAACAGTTCTAAGATATAATTCCAAAATATAATTATATATAATAACATAATTCTCTATTAAATACTTTTTTCAATATTTAATGTTTCTTTAAATTATTATATAAAGAAAATAAAGATAATTTATTCAATAATATTTAAACATTTTATACTTTTCATTTAGACAAGCATTTCCTTCTAAGATGAGTATAAGTTAATTTCGTGAAAAGTGTGTTTTCTTAAGTATGTTAAGTATGTTGTACCATTTTTTATTTAACTATCATGAGAGTCAGCCTATGTGAGTAGAAAGTTTGATAAAAAGAGTTCATATTTGGTTCATCACTTTCTAGTCATTTTCTTTCATAGTTACTCCAAGTCAGCAAAGGAGAGATAATATCTGCCATATTACCTTTTATGAAATCAGAAACATATAAAGCACTTGGCACACAGTACATCACTGAATAAGTCACAGTTAATAATAACTTTCTATTTTTTTCCCTTTCCAAACACTAGTCAATAGCAAATTTGAATACTGAAAGAATTCGGTACAACTGCCTTTCAATGTCCACACTGTTTCAGGATATTAGGTGGACAGCAAAATACGTAGATGCTCAAATAGCCTACAGCTATCCTCTCCTATACTTTAAATTATCTCCAGATTACCTATAATATCTAACTAGTACAATGTAAAGGTTTTTCAAATAGTTTTATATTGTTTAGGGAATAATGACATGTTTAGTACAGACTCATCCATTTCTTTCCTCTCAAATATTTGCTATCAGTGGTTAGTACAGTCTGCAAATGTGAAATACACTGATACAGAAAATGTACATTTTTAATATGTATGTTCTAGTGTCTAAAGTTTTTACTAAATTATTAATAATAGCTTTTTTGAAATAAAATTATGAACTCAATTATTTTAGTTTTAGTCTTCAAAGCAGAACTTAAATTCATTCTATTTATACCATTTTCATACAAAATCATGATTATATATATGAATAATAAGAGTCAGAAAAGGCTTTAAAAAGCATATAGGTAAGTGAGGCTAAACTATATGTTCCTAGACTGGAGCTGGTCCAGAACCAAGTTTTTATCAGTCCTCTAGCATACAGAAAAATCATATAGGCTTTATGTAACCAAAATTTTCATATATCTAAACATTAGGGAATAGAAATTAAAAAAGACTAGAAGGAAAACAATAGAAACAAACTTTTGTAAATGGAGACAGGAAAAAGGATTGAAGAAAAGGAAGGGGTATGGGGAAACAATTAACATTTATTATGTACAGGTACAAATTCCCCATGATGAATAATCATTATGTATGTAAAAAATGTACCAATAAAATTAATTTTAAAAAGAAGTACTTTTGATTATGTAGAACTGTGTGGGATGTTCAAATAAACATTAAAATAAACAAATAAATAAATATGTTTTACTCTAAGATTATTTCTTTCAATGTCTTCTGCTTTAAAATATCCCTCCTGTGTCTGTGTTTTTTCATGTACTACTTACAACTCTGCTAAGAACTGTAGTCTTTGGATATCAAAAATCAGACAAAATGTAAGACAGAAGGTATTGGCAAAAGTCTAGAAGTAAGTGTGTTAAACTAGCCTCTTCCCCATAGCAAAATCTCCCCCAAAGCACTCCTGAGAAATGATCATACTTTGATGAGTTGTTTCAGGAAAAAGAATTGTCTATATACATACCAAAGATAAAAGAATATCTACAAAAAGCTGATGATCTATAATTTTAAGGACAAAATTTTGAAAAGCATTGTACTATTTAGAACCTACCAATAGCAAAAAAAGCATGAAATGTTTGTTTTGAAAGAAAAATAACTTTAAAGAATAAAAATAAATAAGTAAAGTTATTTTCATGAGAGCAAAATATCAAAGGTGGAATATTCAAAAGAAAATATAAATTAGTATAAATTAAGAATAACTTTACCAGAGTGAATTAATAGTATAGTAAAGGAATTCCATTTATCTTCATATAGCTTTTCCAAACATCGAAGAGCACAAAGTGTTGATCCTCCATTACCTTAAAAATAATTTAAAAGGCAAAATTAATTTCATAGAAGTCTACTAAAATTTATATTGGTAAATTTATGACTTTAAAAGATATAGTTTTAACTATAATTAATAAGATAAACACCAAAAATATTGGCAAAGAATAAAATTAATACATTTTATAGTAAAAAAAAGTAATCAATAATTATTACACAAATTCAGAGAAGTCTTTATCAATAAATGATTAGGTAAAATTCTCCCGAAAATTGCCATACAAAAAGAAAAATGAATTATATGACCTGTAACATACTAAGACTGTTATGTATAAACATTCATAGGCAGTTAAATCATAAAATCAATTTAAGTAATTCTTCCATATGACAATTAAATATATAAGCTGGCTTCTCTTTTTAAAACAATTTTTAGAACTTGGTTTCCAAAAATAAATACCTTATACATAACTAACTCATACTTATTACTACCATCATAGCGAAGATATTTAACTTTCTGTACTTTAGATTTTCATTTATACAACAGGAATAATACAGGTATGTACCTCAATGTCGTGAGGATCCAAACAACACTATTTAATGAGAAAATACTAACGGCAAACCCAAAAACTATTTATGATATCAAGGGAATTCAGTTTTAAGTGTCACGTGGAAAACAGCCTTTAGGAAAATAGCATTTAAAAAAATTTGCAATGGAAGGTGAAATGACAAAGTTGATCTTGAGCAAGGTTTTCAAATAAACATTCTGTTCAAATAAACTTACACCATTAGACTCTGTTCTCTCCATTCTACATTGTGGAAGTCCCAAGAGAAACCATATATACATATATGAAGCAAATCTATCTATCTATCTATCTATCTATCTATCTATCTATCTATCTATAAAATGCGTTATACATATATTTGCTGACATATTTTTTACTTCGTGTGAATATCCAAATAAACCATTTATGCATTTTTTTTCTAATTTGATTTATGTAAATTTCAATAGAAACCGTGGGGTTGGAGAGTTGAGAATTTAAGAGCTCAACTAATAAGACCCACAGGAATAGTCACCATCTCAGTAAGTTTTATTCAAAGTAATACAATTCTCTTTTAAATTCTGGAAGCTTTTCACTGTTCAGTCACAATGAGTAAGAGCAGCTGCTCTACTCTTCATTTTTCTTACAGTCAATTACATTTATATTTCAATGTCTGTCAAGGCTGTGGGTGAAGATGTGCAGCTTACAAACTGTAAACCACAGAAAAGCTTTTCTTCAATGACCATTCTGCCCAGAATCTATGTATAAACCTGTGCATAAAATGCATACCAATTTTGGCTCCAGCAGGATCAACAAAAACATGATATTGAACTCCAAGGGGTAATTCCTTTCTCTTCAGCTTTTCTGATAGCTGTTGCTTATAAGCAAGTTCCTGCTTTTCATCAGCTGCTGTTAGTACAACTATGTCCCAGAATTCCCCAGCTCCTACAGGTTTGCCTATTTGAAAAAAAACAAGAAAATGATAATATGATTATAATAAACTACCTATTGTAGGTTTATTTCACATAAGAGGGGAAAAGATAACATTTATTACCATTTCAAAAATGTACCTTCTACTTTTGAAACTTGGAATAATTATTGCTAGTATTACTTAAAATAGTTCTATTGAGGATTGTTTATAAGTTATTTTTTCCTCCTCTTTTAGGTAATGCCCTCGTTTTATGGCCTACGATCCCATTTATCTAGAAATCCCTAAAAATTTGATGTCATGTTTCTTGATTAAGGTTCTTTTAACCCGCCACAGACTATCATTTCAATCCTTAAATAGAAAAAGGATACAAACAAGTAAATGAATCTCCAGCTTTAAAAATAAGTTTTCATATATCAAGCTGCCTACAATGTTTGTTGGCTAAGAAAGATTCGACACAAGGATTCATCCCTTCCGTGTTATTTATATCAGTACTTCATTTATATTACCTTAACATGAGCTATGTAAGCTGAAAATATGACACAAAATTCTGGATAACAGAAAAGGTCTTAAGTCCCTGACGAACTCATTAAAAGATAAGAGTGCACTTTTGGTAAACATATGGAATCTCTTCATCCTTAAACGAGATGAAAAAGTGTTTCTATTATTTCACATATGACACTTATGGGCTAGAATGGAACAGCTCCGAACATTTCAGTGTTATCAAAATGTTAGTCGCTGTATTTTTCAAGCAGTCACTAACATATAAAACATAACAAATTTTACTCGACAATTGTACAGGCAATGCCAAGTGGCACAGTCTGTTTGTTTAAACAAATTCTTAAGCAATAAACTCCGTCGTTTGTTCCCTCTCTCCTTAGTGTTTACTATTCTAGGGAACGAATTGGTGAGGTAGGTAGATACGGGTCAGAACAGAAAGGCAAAAACAGCCTAATTACTATATTTCAGACCTTTTAGATCTATTTAAAGTAACTTCTATGAGCTAACCAAAGCATTAATTTTTATAGCTTCATGATTTGAGGTGAATAATTTTCTCCTAATACTTCAGGAAACAAAGAAATTGACAGTCGGGCAAATCTCCAGGTCGTCAGGGCACCCTCCCTCTATGCCGCCCAGGAGAACTCGGTTTCTTCTTTGGTACCTCTCAGTTCTGAAAACTTCCGCAATTTTCTTTGAGTACTTTCTCGAAGGGACACATCTAAAGGAACCCTAGCGACCGCCATAGTCTCCGCTTCTGAGTCGGCGCCGCACAGCACGCATGCGCAGTGGACGATAGGCCGCTAGGTCCGGGCCACCTCTGCCCCGCCCCTTTTGTGCGTCAGACACGTAAACACGTCCCTGAGTGCCTCCCTTTTTCGCTGACGCAGTGAGCGCCTGCCTCGCTGCGTTGCCTTGGCAACGGCCTGGCGCGTTGATGACCACCTAAGGATTGTGGGCCGGTGCCGGGTCTGGGCCACTCTTTCTCAGCTTTTAAGACCTTGCAGCCCGGTTGACCCGGTGAGTGGTTCAGGTTGGGGGACACCTTTGTTGGAAAGGACATAAGAAGGAGAAGATGAAAGCAGAACCTAGGTTCCTCTTTATCTCCTAACTGGTTTGTTTTAGTCGAGAGTAGTGGCAGCGTTTCTCAAGAACATTTTGTCAGATGATATCTAACCCTGGGTCACCTGGAGTCATCTGTCCCCCACCCAGGGTCGGGATACACAGTTTGAATACTTAAGCCCCTCTGTTCTTTTAGGAAATTTAGTTTTGTGGCTTCTTTGTACCTCTGCAGCTCACAAGAGACGGAGCCACAGCACCCCTCTGTTTTGGGTTCACTTCATAGGAACACATGCCAACCTCCCAGTGTCTGTGGAAGTTGTTTGAAATTCAGTCACCAGCCAGGCCCCTAACATTTGCATTACTTCGGTAGCTTCTCTGGCATTTTTTTTTTTTCTTAATATGTGCAGATTCGTCGAGAACATTCAATGAACATTCTTGGTTAAAAGCATTGTTACATGCATGTTAGCTATACATAGAAATTTCATTTGTAGAACGAAAAGTCGATAATGAGTTCCACAGGTTAATCTCCAATATTAGGAATCAGAAAAGTGAATCAAAGAATATTGTCGAGGTATCGCAATTAATAAATCACAGATTTAAAGAAGATACACAATTCAATTCCAGCCTCAAAACTGCTGCACAAAGTTTGATTTAATAGAGAAATCTCTTCATTAAAGTCTTTTTCAGGAATTTAGTCAAGGTCCCACAGACTCTTAGTTTGCAAGAGAAAACAGTTTTTCTTATACAGTAAAAGATTGACCTTGGTATTTAATTATCTTACAGTGAAAGCATCAGGTACAAAGGCAAATTATTCTTTCAGAGTTTTATCATTTAAACTTTTTGTTAATAAATACAATTCATTCTCCTTGAAGAACATTTAGAAAATTTGAGTGAGGTAAGATTGAGCAGAAGAGAAAGTTACAACATAGAACTTCAGAGAAGCAACAAGGGGACGTAGGATTTCAGTTACTTTTGAATAAAACAGCGTTATAGGGTTTCAATTTAGCGTGCCTTATTTTTAAAAGCTCACTCAGAAATACAAGAATAGAATGTGGTGAGGGTGGGGCAAGGAGAGAAGCTTGTAGACTTGTTGGAAGCTGTTGTTAATAATAGATATTATGGGTGTTGGTGCAGGCTTGGCCCAGGTATTAACAGTGGCATTGGTGGGAAGTTCATAGATTCTGGATATTTTAAGGCAAAACTGTAGGTTGATAGAGTGCATGTGGAGTGAGAGTAGAGGAGTCAAAGATGTCGGCCTGAGGGTGGAGTGGCCATCAACTGAGGTGGAGAATGCTAAAGACAGGGAAGCTTGTTGTGGTGAAAAGGACAGGCGATAGTTGGGCTCCATACATAGAGAATAGGCATGTGTATGCAATATACACAATAGAAGCTTGTGGGTGTATGTGATTGTGCATCTGTATGAGTGTAGTTCAGCAAGGGAGTCTGGGCTAAAGATAATTTTGTAAGTTGTCAGAATATGGATGGAATTAATTTCCTACTATGAAACTGTGTTGAGATCCTAGTGGAATACAGGTCAGTAGTGTCTGTGTTTGGATACTGTACATTCTAAGTTGAAGAGAACAATGCGACAGTATGTACCTGAAAATAATTAAATAGAAAAGAACAGTAGGATGAAATGGTAGACTATTATACATAGAGTATTTAATAGAGCATTTATTGGATCCAGGAAGGATAGTTACAGAAATAGATATTATTTTATACCACTATGACTACATTGCTCATGCTGAAAGTACTTTTTTTTTTTAGTAAATACTGGAAAAACATTATCAACTATGGTTTTTATTTTACCTTATTTTTCCCCTCAAATTTTCATGAAGTTTTACATAATAATTCTTTAAAAATACTGAACCCTAGGGAGTAAATATCCTTGGCAATTATTATAGAAAGTTATTACAAGAAATTAGGAACTTGAAGTTTATTTTTGTGCCAGAAAACTGTGATACTGTTGTTTAAAGTTTTAAGCTACCAGAGTAAATATTTTAGCAGAGCATGTTACCACAGAGACTTTACCAGATGTCTGCCAGAGTATTGTTTTACAAGAGTAAAATATACCAGGCCAGCTAATTATTAAGGCCTATTTATTCTGCATAAATGAGATACACAGGAAACAATGTTAGTGTTAGAGTGGACATTACTGACAGGGATACAGCACCATATAGCCATCTTGTCAGGAATGGAATCCTCCGGGCAACATTTTACAGAATCTAACAATGCATTGCAAAGTTTAAGAAATATCACACTGGCCAGTTTGCCTCTTGACTTGAACAACTCATTTGACTTACAAAATATACAACCAACCTTATTTCCTTCAGGTTTCAAACACCAGACTTGACACTACTCCAAACACACTTATTTTCAGTGGATTACTACTTGGTCTCTTTTTATATTAAGACAAGAGATAATTATTGGACTGCAAGAGGATTACACCAAAAAGAAGTATGCATGCTGAGATAGCAGAGTTTAGCACATCTTATTAATTAAAAATTAATGTTGTTTAGAATTTTAATTGATGAATTAAAGAAAAATTAATGTTTCAATACTGCTTATTTTCTTTTCCATGTAATTAATTCAGTTTTTCCCTGTGGTTTCCTTGAAAATAATTTTGAGAATCAGGGATCCTAAAGGCTTTTTAAAAATTATTTTATTTTATCTTTTTAAATTTAATTTTGTTAGTACTGTACATGTTTGCAGTACATTTATTCTGGGTAGTTGGGGCATGTACACGACACATTTTATTTCTTTTTATGTCCCCTTCCTTTCTCTTCCCTCAGTAGCATAGTCCTCTTCCCACTTGCCAAAAATTTGGAAAAAATTTTCGTGTTGTAAAACTGTATTCATACAATGTACCCCAACATTTTTTCTGTGATATACAATATGGCAATTCATCAAAATGAGATAGGCTCAATACATCTGTTGTCAAAAGTATTTTAAAAATACCATTGCTTATTTTGTTAATATAGATGGGGCTATATATGTTGTAGACATTCTAAATTTATAACTTCAGCTTTTTCATGATTTCATTTTACATGCAAATATTAGTAGCTGCTTTGACAATTCTGAGGTCTAATATGTAGACTCTCACTTATTTAATAATATGAGTAGTTTTCATAAAATATGTTATTTCTGTATATATTATCAAATAGTTTAATGTACTACTTACTTAAAATAATATATCTGTGTTCCTAGCATGTAGAAATTTCAGTGAATGAACATTTAACTATATAATGGATAGTAAGACATTCATTTGAAAATTTCTTCTCAATATTAATTATATCTTATATGAAAAGATCATGGTATACAGAATAAGTTTTTAGATTTGTTGAGTTTTTTTTTAGATATTTGTAATTAGAACCTTATATAGCTTTTACTTCTTATGTTTGTTACCACTTTTTTTTTTACAGAGAAAATTTGGGAATAAAATCAGACTTATAATTAGTGTACTTTTTATTTTATAGATTTGATTTACATGTGATTAAAAGTGATATTATAGGATTCATATTCTCTTAAATTTGTTTAAGCTTTATGACCCATATGTGGTCTATCTTGGCAAATGAATTTTCTGTGTAAATTTGAGAAGGATGTTTTATCTGCTATCAGATTAAGTTTAGATGTCAATTAAGTCTAGTTGCTCTTAGATATATTAATAATAACAAAAATAAGAGCTTTTAATTCAGCTTGACTATTCCTTTTCTCTTGATTTGTTATGTAAATCTAAGTTTTGGACCTTTAGTACACTTTTAAGAATTAGGAAACTAGAAGGTTTTCATTCTTTTTTTTTTATAAAATTCTTAAGTCACGATACCCAAGTCTATTTAATCACCGTAGTATTTAACTTTTACACTTTTTTTTTCTGAGACATTTTTTTAAAGCTAAAAAAGTGGAACATTGTACAAAATGAAAAGAACAGGCATTAAATTAGGTAGTATCTTGATTATCTCACATTTAGATTTAAAATCCCCTTAATCACAGTGGTTTTTAATTCTTATAAATTTATTTTTGTTTATAGTTAGCATCTTTTATATTAAAGCTTACAGATAATTCTGTACAATGCAAATAGAGGTACCAAATTAAGTAATATCATGGAGATTATCTGAAATTTATATTTGTGTGAACCTATACTTCCTTTCTTCCTCAGAATATATCTTGCTGACCAGAAGTTTTCAAATAAGGCAAGAATGCTGATCAAATTAACTCACCATACAGTACTCATCTTTTGTACAAAACTATGAACGTATTTAATGTTTAGGGGAATGGTGGAACATTATGAGATGGGCTATGAGAGCATCAGTTAACTTCACAAAATGAACAAATTTATTCAACAAGCAGTTGTATTTGGATATTTACATTTATGCAGAACCTCTCATTTTGTAAAATTATCTAGTATATCTCTTAATAAAGGAAAAAGAAAGTGATTTTGAGTAATACTAGTAATGTCATTGGCCTATTCAAATCATCATTAATCTAGAGAATTTGGTGAATTGAATTGATTAAAATTATAGTAATTGCTATCACATTTTTCCTACAAAAGTTTTGGTGGGAAATTTAAAATAATAAATATTCATTTATTAGTGAGTCTATAGTCATTAACAAGTGTACTTAGTTAATATCCCTGTTGAGAATGCTTGGAAATAAGTGCCAGCAAAAAGACTATATCTTCTACAAAGAAATTTTCAGATATAGTATTATAAATAGAAACAATCATGTGAGAAATAAATGCTTTGGAAAAAATATTCATTATATAATTTATAGGCTATCTGTAGTTATATATGTATTTGAATATATATGTACAATTTAGTGATACAATTAAAACGTATAGTGTAGCTTTCAATTTTATGCAAAGAAATGGGGTCTCCAATATTCTGTGTTGATCGCTCTTGATAGTTTAAAAGTTTAATTATGAATTTATAATCTGAAAAAGAAAAGTTTATATCTCTGAATATGTGACATCCTGGAAAAGTCAACACTATAGAGTCAGTAAAAACATAAATGGTTGCCAGGGGTTTGGGAGAGGGAATAAAGTGAAATATAGGAGACTTAGGCATGATACAGTGATGATCCTGTATGATGCAATAATAATATACACATCATTATACATCAGGAGAAACTATAGAAGATAAGACACATAGTTCCTATTGTAAAATAGGAACTACTTTAGTTAGTAATGTATTGATTCATCAGTTGTAACAAATATATAAATATAAGATATTAATAATGGATAACTTCTATGTTGATATAGTATGAGTTTATCTGGATTTTTCTCATTTATATTCATTTGAATTATGATGATTTAGTTTATATGCACATGGTAGAAATTTATTCTTCCAATGGGGGAGGTAGTTAATCTTTCAAGGAGCTCCCAGATGGACCACTTGAGCTTATTCTATTCTAAACTATCATTACTGACTTTGTTTCATGAGAGATGAAATTACCCATATAGTAACATCAAAATTATATATATAAGTGATATCATATAAAATTGGGTAATAAATCATTGAGCCAAAAGTTTTAGATAAATTTAGTCAAACTCTATTGCTTTAGAATTCTGAATTCTAATTGCCTAATGGAACTGAACATATAAATACATAATGTGATGGAAAATTGTCTCTATGAAATAAATATTGTTGATAACATTTGAAAATTTATATTGAAACTTAATTTCATCTGGCTGCATTTTTCATCCTTTCTCACAAATTTTAGTATTTTTTCCTTACTTGGAAATATAGTTTTTTCATTTAATAATACTAAAGCAAAAATTATTTTACTGGCTATGTTAAAGTATAGCTTTATTTGTCAGTTTTTCATTTTCTTCTAGGGAAGTGATATAGATTCCGTGCTCTTTAGTCTGTGAAAAAGGTAATTTTTTCTTTTTTACTGATTAGCTTATTGGTGAATGCAGTGATACCTTTTTTGGTAGTAGCCATAAATGTTACACCTTTGGGTACTTTGCAGTAGACTATATATGGGAAATATTATTTTTAATTTAAAGTTTTATGCTTATTTTATTCTATCTCCAACAAATAATCTACTCTTTTTTCAAGTAGATTTTTAAATGTTGAAAAAATTTTAAACAATTACCCATTTATCCTAGATGTTTCATGGGACAATTATAGAAGAATTAACCAATCATGAAGAGTGGAGTCACTATAATGAAAATAAAATAGAAGATCAAAAAGATTTTGTTTTTATAAAGTTCAATGGCCTTCATTTAAAATCTATGGAAATTTTGCAATCTTGTATCTCTCTTAGAGTATGCATTTTCACAAATAATTTTATTACTGATATACATCCACTTCAAAGTTGCATAAAATTAATAAAACTTGATCTCCATGGAAATCAGGTAAGCAATAGTCACTTAAGATATCTGTATCTACATAAAGTTTATATATAATAAATACGTTATCTAAGTATTTTCCAGGTAGTCATTTCTTAAACTATGCACAAAAAATTTAAAATAAAAATTAAAACACCATGTATATAGACATGAAATTAAAAATATACACAAATAATTAAAATAAAATACATGAACAGTGCATGATTTGGTATATTTTATTTCTTAAATCTACAGTATATATAAATATACTTTTTGACTCATTATAATATTTGTCATTTCAGAAGTATACTAGAAAAGTTTTAAGAGTCAGCTTATTTCCAAGGAAATTTACCTGGAATACATACGTACATATATGTAGATATATATACATATCTACATACATGTATATGTGTGTGTGTGTGTGTGTATATATACACATATGTATCTATCTATATGTTTGTATAAGTGTGGTAGTTTAATCCAGTGTATTATATTATTTTGTAGTCATCATTTAGATAATGGAAAACATTCCTTTCAATAATAAATTAGCGTCTTGCCATTTGGAAGAAATTGAATTTTAGATGTTTAATGTTTTAGCATTTTCCATGTAATGTGTAGAAGAGTAATATTTGAGCTAAAATATTTTTAATAATATTTCAGATAAAGAATCTACCACATACTGAATTTTGGAGTGGATTGAAGAATCTGAAACTCCTCTATCTTCATGACAATGGGTTTGCAAAGTTGAAAGATTTATGTGCATTATCTGCCTGTCCAGCACTCATTGCTCTCACCATGTTTGATTGTCCAGTAAGCCTTAAAAAAGGATACAGAAATGTTCTTGCTAACAGTATTTGGACTCTCAAAGCTCTGGATCATCATGTGATTTCTGATGAAGAAATAATTCAGAACTGGCATCTTCCTGAAAGATTCAAAACATGTAACAGCCGACTTTTCTTTAACTTCAGCCCTGCTTTGAGAAAGGTAATTAGCTTCATTATTTCATTTTAAGTAAATTTAGAAAAGTAAAATTTTACTTTTTAAATTCTAAACCTATATCATAATTATTTCATAGCTTTGAATCATTTATAAAAAGTATAATGGATCAGTGAGTATAATAGTTTATATCTAAAAATTTTTAAAGACTTCTGTACCTGTTGCATTAAAATGTAGAGCTTAAAATCATTACACTTTTAGAGAAATTGAAAGCAGATCTCTAATTTATTTAGATTTTTATATAAATAATTCCCCTTAAAATATTTGATATTTCTGGAATGTCATAAGGAACATTTTATACAGTTGTTGGGAAAATCAAATATTCAGTTCTTTTACGCAAATGGTGGCATTGTAATGATCAATTCATCATATGTTGGTTTACAAGTATTGGGATAAATAATTGAGATCACATGATACTATTTTGTAAAAGATTAGAGAATGCTGGATTGATATAAATAAGATGAACATTTTTTTAGCATGTGAATATTAGAATAAATAAAAATTCAAAGAAGAAGTTTAGTTCTGCAAGTATTAGTAGAAAATAGGCTATGAGATATAGTAAGAAAACAAGGATATGGTAGAGCAGTGTTTTTGGTGTAATCTATTTATCTATAAATATGTTTTCAGACATGTATTTAAGATCATTTTATCCTTCTCAAAACATCATACAGTGTACTAAACCAAAGATAGGAAGCCATAACCAGATGATAAAATCTTATGGTACCACCATGTATACACATATCAACCAAAATGTTATTCTTTGGAAAAAGACTGTATATGTTTAAAATCTTGAAGAATAGAAAATTGCTATGGATAGTGATACAAATGAAAGGTATATGAACTCTGAGCACTATTTATGGATGAAGTGGATTAGTTATAAAATCTTCACATTACTGCATATGATTCTTTAAAATTTATGTGTATATTAATGATTTTGTAATAATAACTTTAAAACCTTTATGTTTTCCTAATAATTCTATAAGTGGTTAAAATTGTAAAGATAAGGCAGTATTAAAGTATAGTTTCTTAAAACTGGACCTCAAAAAATAATTTTATTTGGATATTCCAATTTTATGTTTGCACTATAATTAAAACTGGGTCCCTTTAAGGAAAATCAAAAGGGTTGTTGGACTGAGGTTCATTTAAGGAAAGAAAAAACAAATGTTTGAGGAGGATAAATTGTTAGGAGACAACTTGAATGACACATTGAGGAATATCGATTTCAAATATGACGAATATCAATTAAGTTATGTAAGTAGGAAAATAGAATGGTTATCTCATAGAATATCTTCTATAAATATTCAAATCCAATATTGTGCAGGAAGATTAGAGTATGTAGAGGGAATGAAGGTAGGGCGATCAATTACTCTAGATTAGAAATGATGTAACTGGATTTATGAAGGCAGATAGCAGTGTTAAACCCGTGATGAAGAAAATAGAAGACAGGCACTTATTCAGTGAAAGTTATTGTGGTAGGCACTTTAAATATTTTATATTTTCACTTATTTGCCAAATATGAAATCTGTCAGATGGTAAATGAGATAGATTGTTCTAGGTTCTGAAGATTCACTAGTAGATACCACTTAACAAGTTTCCTACTTTCACTTATGTTCAGTGGAAAATAATAGGAAATAATCATATAAGCTGAAATAAAACAGAAACAAAAGAAACATGGAATGTTGGATAATGTTATTTAGAAAAGAAGAGGATCAACAGGATGGAAGGGGTGGAGATGTGCGCTATTTTAGCTCAGATAGATGGAAAGGGTTTTCTGAAAAATATGTTATTTACTGATCATCATTTCCTTTGATGTGGAAGGATATTACTCTTGATTCATAAAAGATGAGACAACCAGTACCATGAAGATGGTAATTCTGTTCTTGCATAGTCCTGCAACTACATACCATTGCAAATGATAGTGGAGAGTTCTGCTAATTTAGAATTTATTAGTACATGTTTGCAGAACAGAAATACTGCATTCTTTGTGGGAAGTTCATACATGTGCATAGCATAGTGCATCTCAGTTCTTTTTTCATTCCCTTCTCCCCATCTCTTGATCACCTTCCCATTTGCAATTGATGGGGCCTTTTTAATTGATTGAATGTAAGAGGAGAAGAATAAGAAATATACCTCTAATATTTTGAACCTGGACAGTATTCCCCTTTAGGGTTTGATGAGATTAAAAAGTACATGTCAGCTAAGTCTGTCAATTTTGTATTAGGAAAATAATTTCCTCTATGAATGTCTTAACTGGCTCACATGGCTACCATTACATATGAGGGAATCTATTATGATGAGTATTTTTAAGTGGACACATTTACTTCTTAAAAAAAATGACTGTATTCTGTTAACAAGCAAGAAAGGATAAGATGGTGTTGGTCCTACAATCCTATAGTCCCAGCCAGGTTAGAAACCAAAGTGGATGGTTCACAAGTTTGAAGTCATCCTTGGCAATTTAGCAAGAGCCTACAAAAAAAATGAATGAAAAGATAGATAGATAGATAGATAGATAGATAGATAGATAGATAAATAGATAGATACATGGGGTTAAGGATATAACTCAGTGATAGAATGCCCCTGAGTTCAACCACCAGGATAGCAAAAATTTTAAAAATGAATAAAAAAGAAATAGATTCTGGGATGGCAGGTAACACTTTCTGTCACACAGTTTAATGAAATTGATAATGTAGTACAGCAGTAGTAATTTAATATAGAGATTCCCAGTTCAGGCATTTGACACCCATTTGTTTTTACTTTTTATGTAAATGTCAAAAAATATGAAAAAAATATATATGAAAGAAATATTTATTGTGAATTCCTAGTTGACTTAATAATTAATCTTAATTGTCCACTTGACTGTATTAAGAGACTCCTGCAGGGATGATTGAATTTTGGGAGTGTGATAATCTTAATATTCATAGCTGAATGTGCCACTAGGAGGTTGAGCTCAGTGGGACCAGGTGGGTTTGGGACCATGCCTCTGGAAGGTACAGGTCCCACTGTCACTCTTTCTCTGTGCTCCGCTTTGCCACCTGCATGAGGTGGGCAGCTTTGCTCCACATGCCATTCTGACAGGATTTTTTTTTTCTAAAACTAGAGATGATAAAAAATAAAACATAAAGCTATATGAAATACACATATAAAATAAGAAAAAATTAAAAAGAATGCCGTGTTTATACAAGTACATTTTTAAAATTTATTGTTGTAGCTTGAATTATAAAACAATAAACAAGTTATAAATTTATTATAAAAACGTGGAAGCTGAAATCAACATATTTATTAAGATTGATTCCAACAACAAAATTAATGCATGCAAATATATATTATGTAAAATAAAACTCAAAGCAAGACATTAAATACAATATAGAATTCAGAATTCAAATTATTAAATAATTGTTATAGTTGATGTTTGCTGTTGGTTTGTTTGTTTGAGACAAGGCCTTATTATGTAGTTCAGGCTGGCCATGACATGAACTCAATGTGTAGCTCAGGCTGGGTACATTGAATTCCCTATGATCCTCTTGCCTCAGCCCCCTGAGTTCTGGGATTATAGGCATGTGTTACCATGCCTGGTTTATAGTTGGCGTTTGAAATACCTGCTTGCCATAGTAAGATTTGGTTGCCAGTTGATAGGCTTGGGAAAGTGACTGGATTATGAAGGCTATAATTTCATATATATTACCCCATTAGTGACATCACAATTTGATGACATTATTGGGAGATGTTGGAAATAGAAGATGAGGTCTCATTCATGGTTGTGTGTGACTTTGGATACTATATCTGGACACTGTTCTCTTTTTCAGGTGGATAATAGTTTCTTTACCATTAAGCTGACAATAGTTTCTCATCACAAACTATAGAGGATTGAATCAAGTAGCATACTATTTTTCAAGTTCTGAAAGAAAACCATGAATCCAGCAACATATAGGCCATTGATGGCAAACCTTTTAGAGATCATGCCCAAACTACAACCTCAAACCCACTTATTTAATCCCAAAGTACCAACTCTGCAGTTAAACCTAAATACTGGGGTTTTTGTTTAGAAAAAAGAACTCGTATATTAACATCTTTTGTCTAAAGAAAAAATAACTTTCATGTCATAGATTCACCACCACTGGTATAGGCAATGAAAGTGTCCTCCAAAAATGAAGAAGGAATATTTTCAAGTGAAAGGAAACTAAAATAACTGGTCACTAGAAATCTAATGGAAAAGTAAATGGCTAAAGTAATACAGGAACTTTTCTGTGTAGAAAGAAATTGTATAAGAAGGTTTGGGCACATCAAGAAGGAGAAAAAAGCAGCAAAAATATGGGTATATTAAACACACTTTCCTCTTCTTATGCCTTTGCAATTATATTTGACGGTTGGTATAGAAAATCACCACATGATCTGATGTGTCATTAAATATGTGTAGAAGAAATAATTTTTAAATTTGTAAACTTGAATAGAGATGCTAAAGGTGATAAATTTTCTATAATTTAATTAAAGTGAAATTGGAAAAATCCTGACATTTTTAAACTGTGACACTAGTTCATTATGATATGTATACCTGGAACAAAAACTAAAAATACCTTACAAAATGACATAACAAATACTCTTAATAGTGATACTAACTGGATAGAAGAATAGAAGATACCCAGCCTTAGGTTTCCACAGAAGCATCAATTTAGCAACTTTTCTTAGGTGAAAAATGCCATTATGAAAATTCTAGAAATCCTAGGGGTTAGGTTAAAATGCCATGATATAGAGTACAATATCTATGGGAAATGTTTTAATATAATACAAAAAATTTTTATATTATTTTTCATTCTTTCCTTCAAGTTAGCACAGCAGAACAATGAGGAGGAGCCCGTTGACCTAGGATTTATCCAATGGAGCATATTCAGATTCCTTAATATTCAGAGGCATTGCCTCAGACTACATTTCTGCCTCACCTCATGAAGAACACTAGGGGAATTTTCATAGGTACATCATTAGGAAACATCTAG